ATTTTGAGAGATTATGAGCAGAGGATTCCTTGTTCAGAGCTGGTTAAATTTGGGGTACCAGGTTAACCCATTTAGTTTTGATTTTTGGGGTATTCTCCTTCTTTGATACAATTCTAGTATTGCACGGTTGGCGCAACAGCTATAAATGTCTTTCTATATCACCTCCTAGGTTTGGAAAATTACTGCTGCTGCTCCCTTCGCTGAAGTTCATTTCTTCGGAGCGCATCGAGCTTCTCTTTTTCCGCAGAACCATTGGGAACACCCCCATGGAGAAGCTGCTGTGTGACATGTTCAAAAATTAAGAGGCAAAGTTTCGGAGGAGTGGTTGAAATGCCTAAGCGGGTTCCTCCATTTGAAAACCTGGATCCGAAATGCAAGCAGGAGGAGAGACCAGAGAAACCTGTTCAGAATGTTTTGTGGTTTGGGCTGGAACCCTTCAAGTGATCGCGGACAGTGCTGGTATTCAGAATAGAGTTGGAAGGGACCTTGGAGGACTTCTAGACCAGTGGTCACCAATCAGCGGGCCTGGGACCACTGGTAGTCTGTGAGAAAATGTTGGTGGTCCACAGAGAAATGTCACTCCCAAAGGAATTAATCCAGGCTGCGCCGCCCACATGGCCGGTGGGAACACAAGGCTTGCGTAGCTTGCATTGCAAATCACATGAGGTAGTGAGGGGAGGAGGGAAAGAGCAGAGGGGGGGGGACTTGCCCCACATGCCCCACGTGCCCGGCCCGGCCACCGGGCTGCTTCTTTCCACTTGTTTCTTCTGCTTTTGGCTGCACGCAAGGAAAGCACGAAAAGTATTTCTTTCTGTCTCCCAAACTCCACCAGAAATGAGTCTTTGGGACCCTGCAAGGCCTCCTGCTCCAAGAAGCTCACAAGTCTCATTTCTGACGGAGTTTGGGGGAGAGAGTTCTGCTGCTTCTGCTGCTTTCCTTGCATGAAGCCAAAAGTCTCTCTTTCTCTCCCCCTGAGAACAGAGCTGGAGACAGTAAAGAATGATCGATCGGTAGGAAAACGGGGTGGGGAATTTCCCTGCAGACTTTTTTGGGGGGGATTTTCCCAGGGTCTCTGGTCCGCAGGATTTAAAATTATGAGTTTGGTGGTCCCTGAGGTCCAAAAGGTTGGCGACCCCTCTTCTAGTTCAACTCATTCAACTATAAAAGGCATCCCACATCACAAAAGCTGTTTCTGATTCACCAGTGCAAGAGACAATCGTGTGGGAATGAGACTGTTGAACTGTAGCGTTGAACTACTGAATTGAATCCAAAGCTAGTCAGACTTGCTCTCCACTCAATGAAACCAATAGTATGGCTAAGTACAGATAGTCTTTGACATACAACCTTTCATTCAGTGACCGTCTGAAAGTTACCACCACACTGAAAAAAGCGACTTATGTTCTTCACACTTTCCACTCCTGCCACATCCCCATAGTCACATGATCAAAATTTGGATGCTTGGCAACTGACTCGTATTTATGACGGTTGCAGTGTCCTGGTGTCATGGCATCCCTCTTTTGTGGCCTTATGTTGAGCAAAGTCCACGGGGAAGCCAGATTCACTGACACAGCCACGAGACTCACTTAGCAACTGTGGCAAGAAAGATTGTAGAGTGGGGCAAACAGAAATTTTGGGCTCAATTGTGGTCATAAGCCGAGGACTACCTGTACGACCAAGCTCAGTTTTCTGTCAGAAAATCACAGTTGAAGCCCCTTCCTCATCCTGGGAATGTTCAGCTATGTTATTTCCTACATGATGATGCAAGACGTAAATGGAACCGCTGATGGGAGCCTGAATCTTTTATTTTATTCAACTGTATCCATAGGCAACCTTTCCATATCCTTTTCTGGCAATAAAAACTGGACATTTGAACATGAGCTACAAATCAGGTGCCCATCTAGCCTGGGAGAAATGGATCTGATCTTTTTCTTAGGCTGGTGGGTATCAGCAGAGGACTTTGTTAGCTTTCTTGTATAAATGTTAATAAATGAGTAGCTTGTATGACTACTTGGGCTCGGGACTCCTTGTTCCTTAGAACACCAAATTTTATTGGCTGGCCAAGTTTATATTTCGGATTCCATGTGCAGGATTGGCTGCCCTGCTCCGTTTCCATGACATTTGAGAGGTCACACCACCTTCTTCCCACTAACCTCCTTGTGTAGCTCATGCAAAATTTCTCTTTGGCAAGAGTGAAGTTTTAATGGCCCTGGAGATTTTTTTTCTCCCATCTGGAAAGAAGCACGCTGGCTTATGGGCTTTGTTGCCTATTTTCCATGGACCACAGTGAACGGCGGTGAAAACAACCACATGAAAAGTCTTTGGCTGGATCAGAAAGTGGAACGATGCTCTCCATTACACTGTATAGAGTCGATTTCAGTGGTGGGATTCAGCCGGTTCACACCACTTCGGGAGAACTGGTTGTTAAGTTTTTGAGCAGTTTGGTGAACTGGTTGTTGGAAGAAATCATTAGGGCAGAGAACCGGTGGTTAAATTATTTGAATCCCACCACTGGTCGATTTAGCTTTCCAGGTCAAATCCAGACAACCATACTAATAATATTCAGTGTTTGAGGAGGCAGTTGGTCCCTGGGAATGCATTCTTTTGAATCTGTATCCTTGATGAAAAGCAGGAAGAATGTTCCTTGATAGAGTAGCACATTCTCCACTAGACTTCAAAAACTAACCAAGTTTTCTAAGCAATTATTGGTGCCTGGAAACCAGGAAAGCAGCAGAAACACTAACATAGCATTCTTCTAGGAACGTAACAATAAAATATGATCCCTTTGCTGGGTGTCTACAAACATCAACGGGTAGGAAACACATCTGCCACTATCACTTTATTTTCCATTCTTTTGTTCTTTAATAAGCTGGGTGGGGGGGTTATTTGTTCATAAAGTTGTTTTTGTACAGCCATAAAATAGTATTGTATTTATGAATTATTACACAAATTGCACTTCAAATATGACGGCCTTGTTTCAGGGGAAAAAAGGAACAAAAATAACATTAACAAGGGGGAAATAAACCTTTCAGACGCGGAAATAACAAGTGTGTGCTGGCTGTTCCAAGTTCACTGCACATCATCCAGCTCCGTGAGCAAATTAAAGCATTTATAATTTCTTCTTTCACAGGTAAAATTTATAGAATATGACACAGGACAGTATATCCTTTTACAATACATAAGTCTGCTTTGAAAATGTACACTCAGTATACTTATAAATTACTTTTAAAAATTTCCGTTAAAAATAACTATATGCAGCCAATGTCCTTCCCAGTGGGGAGTACATTCACTTGAATATCGTGGGTGGGGGACAGAGCTGGTCCACAAACTTTACAGGCAGTTCTGGGGTGGAGAGGCTAAGACAAGACGGAGAGATCCTGGAAGACGAGAAGCAGATAGAAACCCAGGCAGGAGTTTCTTGCTGCCTGAAATTCAGAAAAAGTTCAAAGCAAAAAGTCTCTCTTGGATATCGACTGCTCCCCTCCAACGCTCCCAGGCCAATCCCAAGGACAAAGCTTTAAGTTGGGGGAAAAAAAGTGTGTGTGTGTGGGGGGGAAATTAGCCCCAAGGATTGGAGGCAAAGCCCAGAATTTCTCAGCACATAAATCAACTTGGGGGAGGGTGGAAGAATCTTTGGGGGGTGGGGGGGAAGGACAGGAAAAGGACTTGGAGAAAGAGTAAGGCTTGCGTGGTAAAATGTGATATATTTGGGGAGGGATTGGAGTGTGTGTGTGTGTGTGTGTGGGAGGGGGAGAGGGGGTGTTGTTGTTTTTTTTGTAAAGAAGCAGCTTTAGAATCCATTTGCTTAACAATCTCCTGCTTACCAAAATCTTGAGAGTTCCTTTTCTAGTTTATTAGAGCTCCTTGGAGTTACACTATCCCAGGGGTGGGCAACTACGGCCCTTTTATGTATTATGGACTTCAACTCCCAGAATTCCTGAGCAAGCCATGCTAGCTCAGGAATTTTGGGAGTTGAAGTCCACAAGTCATAAAGGGGCCATAGTTGCCCACCTCTGCACTATCCCCTGTGCAGAATTTGCAAGAAAAACCAACTTGCAGGTATCACAGAAATGTTTCTCAACCTCAGGAAGTTTTAAGATGTGTGGACTTCAATTCCCACAATGCCCCAAGCCAGCTTTGGGAATTCTGAGGGTATTCTGGGAATTGAAGTCCACACATCTTAAAACTTCCTGAGGTTGAGAAGCATTGAACTAGTGGCTAAAGCTGCTGGGTGCATCACTTCAGGTTCTAAAGACTCCAAGGGAAAATAAAAAAAACTTCACCAGGTTTGCAAAAGTATCTTCATGATGCTTCCAGAATGGAGATACCTGAACGAAGATGGATGCCAAGTTACACTCGCTAACAATTTCAAAAGGTTGGTGTAAAATGCCTCACGTATACAAAATCCCCCTAAACAAGTGGAACTCATATCCTGAATATTCTCACTGCAAAACTGTCCGCAAGGAACAGCTATTCCACCCAGAAAACCAACAAACTCAATACCTACAGCCTCAAGAGCAAACCGGAATCCAACATCTGGTCTGAAGGAGAAAGTTTTGCCTGTCTGAAGTAGGAAAAACACAAAAAAGATTCTTCGGTCAACAGCTGAACAAAACTGGATCAACTTAGCAAACACCATCTTCAGTCATTGAAAGAACCGTTTGAAATTTCGAATAAGGCCTCTTTATAGTAACACGAACTGTTATAAATATGGGGATTTCTTAATGAGTGACATTGCCATTAAGTCAGGGTGCCAATTCTGGCTTATTCAACTTGGATGTTTAAAACAACATTTGAAGGGTTACAACGCTGCCTGTCTTTATACTTACTAGGTCAAGAAAAGCTCTAGCTTTGTACGGTGCCAGATTAAAAACGAAGTCAGCTGAGAGACGCAACTGTGATTCAGCAAACTTAAAAAGGCTCCAAGATAAATTTGTATCTTCCTTCTACTTTTAAAGAGGGGACGGTGGTTTTAAACCATTAATAGCTGCAACACTCAGTCGGTCAGACCTCTTAGGTAGGAAATGAGAAATATATTAGGATCAGCTTATCCTTCAAATAATAAAGGTGTGCGTGGTTTCTAAAGAGCCTCAATGATCTCAGGTTTCTGCAGATGATCACAACACGCTGTCCTTTTTGACAAGTGTAAAAAAAAGCGCTGGGTGTGTCAGCCCAGGTGGGCTTCACAGTCTGAATTTTCTGCCGTACAATCAAAACGAATCAGCGATGGGTTTAACTGAAAAACAGGGCTTCCCAAAGACCTTTAAATGGACTCTTCTGTTGTCCTCAAGGAGTGGCTCTTCTTCTATATTGGTAACATTTTTTGTAGCCATGTTATTTTGTAATATTTGTAGCCATATTTTTTTTTTTTCACAACATACAGGTGGAATGATCTATTGTCATACCGGTGCAAAACACGGCGACCGTTTATTGTTCCACACCGAAAAGATCCCAGAATTACTTCTAGTAACTCAAGCCTGGTCCTCTTCCTCCTCCTCCACCTCCTCCTTTTCTGGCTTAAATGTCCCACATTAATAAAGTCCCACATTGTGGAAAAAGAAAACAAACATAAAAAGTTATATTTACATTGAACTTCAGTAACCATAATACTAACAAACAGCTTCAAGTAGTCTCTCACTTTAAAAAAAAAAAAATGCGCCATGGTTTAATACTGATGTGTAGCAAAGAAAGCGATGTTAAATCATTTGTTAAACTGACTGATTTCAACAGCAGCCTTCCTTATGCTTGGGTTTTGCTTGAGTGGCGTTTTCTCAGCCGGTCAAGAAACTTAAGAGCTTGCTCAGGCTCCCAGCATGGAATCGGGCCAGAGACACAGTCAGAAAAGTAAACGCTTCTGTTCCCTAATACTTTCTTTTAGTCTTAAAGAGTCGGATTTTCTGCCCCAAGGGACAGGGCCTATGTTGCGATTATGGCTACTGGAAATTCGGCACAAATATTTGGCTTCGACCTACCTGGAATCAAACTGGCATTGGTTATTCTGACACCATCAACCCAAAAAGTTTAAACCAAGAAAACTGATTAGATAAATAACTCTTGTTCACAATGGAGGTGCACCTGATGTATCTTAAGAAGTGCTTGAGTGAAAAACGAGCATTTCCCACCACATCTGACAACGCCACAGAGTGCATTTAGAAACAGCCCTGAACAAAAGGGCTCCTCAGTCCCCTTCCTTGCTGTCGCTTCTTCTAGGAACTTCATTGCTTCTCAATCCCAGTGCAAAAACCTAACCCCAAAGTCAAGAGCGTTGACCCTCAGGATCAAAAACGCCTCTCTTGAACTCCGGCTGCCCTCCTAATGCTCTCAGGTGGCCGGCACAGGTTCCCCGGCCTGTTAAAAAAAAAAAAAAAAGTGTGTGTGTGTGGGGAAACGCCAAACCTGGTCCACCAGCCATCATCCCCTCCAGCACCGCTGGTTTCACTGCAAATCCCCAGCCTGACTCGTGGAGAAACGGCGGGAGTTCCAAAGGCTAAAGTCAGCTAAGGCCACAGCTAAATTCCTCCCCGCCACCGTCTCGTTCTGGATGGAAGAGGGAGGCTCCCCGCTCCTCCACTGGCAACGCGATGCTAGGACTCCAAGCAACAAATGGGGAGGAGATGCTGACTTGGGGGGGACGGGGGGACAACGGAGCGGTAGCAGCAGATGGCACGCAAGTGGAGGGAAGAGGCGACGGAGGAGGTGCTTGCCAGGGCAGCCGACTCATACCATGAACTCGTTATTTCCTAGCAGCACCAGTTGCTGGGGGCTCATGTAATCTGCACCCTTGGGGTGACGCTTCCGGCCTGGCCCAGCAGACCCTTCTGGGAGTTCTTTGGCTTTAGGGGAGGAGATTTTCACATTCTTCAGTTTCTGCTTGCCTTTCTCCGGGTTGAATGTCCCTCTGGTGGTGAACTGTGGCCTGTCATCCAGGACCTTGGGGTGTCCTGGCGATCGCTCCAGCGCCCCAGCGTCCCCAGGGGGAGCCGCTCGATAGAAAGGCGATTTGGAATAGATTTGGAATCGTTTCCGCGTCACGTGAGGCAGGCAGGAGGAGGAGGAGGAGGAAGAAGGCGAGAGGGAAGGAGAAGAAACCAAGGAATCCACCGAGTCCACAGATTCCGGCTGCTTGCGCAGTTGCCTTCGGGACCGAGAGGTACCGGCCGGGTCTGTCTTGCCGGGTCTTGCTGGGTTGAAGGTTAAACTTCGGCCTGGTAGGGAAGAGATACAAGGGATGTTTAAGAGCGGCAGTTGGAATGCACTGACAGAGATAATATTTCCTGGAATGAGCCCAAAGAAGCTCTCCTGACTTCCATCCATGGAATCAAAACATGGTGGCTTATTTGTAGACTGCTTGGAGGGGCGACATTTTCAGTAAGCGTTTTCAGAATATAGCTTGCCCTCTTCAGTTTCCTCACATTTGAGCAAACAAGTGTAAACTTTTAACTGCATACTATTACATCTACATTACTAAACGACAAACGTCCTGTACCAAGGATGATTCCTTTAGGATTCCTTCTCCAACACATTTTATTTACCTGATTTGTCCGAAATAGCTCCTTCGGAATCAAAATTCAAGTTTTCAGAACTGTCAGCAGTGCCAATCGAAGCCTCGGACTCTAATGTTTCATCATCGGAGGCTCTGGGCTCCAGTGCTAGCATCTCAAAAGTTAGCTCTTCCCTGCAGGGAGAAAACACAAAATAAATGGGAAGAACTGGATGGAGAAAAAAAAAAACAGCAGAAGCTAGGAGATAAGAAATAAAGGATTATTAAGGTCGCGAGGGATCCTTGGGGCTCTCTGAGGTGGGTTGTATTCTTGAAGACGTTTCATTACCCCAACTGGGTCACATCATCAAGCTAGACTTCTAAGTTGATGTGACCTAGTTTGGGTAATGAAATGTTTGCAACAAAACAACCAACCTCAGAGAGCACCAAGGACCCGTCATTTCCACACTGAATATTCTCCTTTATTGGAATTAAGTTTATGCCCACAATATTCAATCTACATGTAACTTGACTGAGTATTTCTTGAAATGTAGCAGAGTCAAGTATTTATTGAAATGTAGCAGATGGACACCCCCATCTAATTGGTCCAGCTACTTAGCCTTCATTGGTCCAGTTACTTAAGACTCACTTCTCTTTCTGCAGGCTTTCTATTTGCTCTGCCAGCACCTTCTCTTCCTGTTGCATGGCTACTTGCTGCTGTTCGGTGACCTCAATCTCCATGGCCTCCTCGCTGCTCAGGGCCTCCTCGGGAGCATCTGCCATAGAGGGCAACCGGACTCCCGCTGGGGATGTAGGGCTTGGATAGGTGCCTCGGCGTACACGCCCTTTGCCCTATGCATAAAGTAAGGTGAATGAGGATTGCGGCCTTCTATCCGCTTTGAAATTAGAAGAACTCATCCCCAGTATATGTATGAGACAACTAGCAAACAAATTTTCTTCAGATGCCTAGCAGACACAGATAGGACAGGAAACAAATATAAATCCAAGGGCATAGGGACTATTTTTGGAAGTCCTCAAAAATATCTTCGATCTATAAGCCAGAAGTCATTTCTGTGGATTTACTTTATAATAGAGTATTTCAGGTTGCCAGCATCAAAAAGTGGTGCAAAGAAGAAAACTGAATTAAAGTATTTTTTTAAAAAAACTTGTTTATAGCATCTTTTAGATTACACTCTTCTACTAGGACATTGGAAATGCTGAAATGTATGTACTGAATACTATTTAAATTAAAGAATCTCTCTAGGCAAGAAAAAAAAAGAAAAAAGAAAGCCATCAGTAAAATATAATCCTGCTGCTTGTATTTTCCAGTGAAATTCTGTGAACAAACTAGCAGAAGTGGATCACTGTGAATATCGGGAAAATTTATCTCTCTGGACACAGAGCCAAGAAATATCCCCTTTTGGTTCATCCAGATTCTCAAAGACCAATTATTCATATATCTGTCCTGGGGTACATTGCCATTTTAAAATAAAAAATAAAACTTTTAGCCCCTTCATACTTTCAGCAGCATCATGTTGTTATGTAAATCAGGGGTCTCCAACCTTGGCAACTTTATGACTCCTGGACTTCCAGAATTCCTCAAGCAACATGGAGTTCCTTCAGGCTGTCAGCCTCCTCTGGGAGTTGAAGTCCACAAGTTGTAAAGTTGCCAAGGCTGAAGACTCCGGATGTAAATAACTCCTGGAATTGTTAAATCAATTTCAAGATTTTCCCTTTCTGGCTAAATCATATATTTTGGGATCTACCAGTATGTTTGTTTTTTTTAAATCACAACTAAAATCATATTCAGATTTTCCTCTTAGAAACTTGAGGCTCTGGTTAGATATTAGCAAAGTTGCTTTAATGTTAAGCTTAGGCAGAGATTCTATGCTGTCTGACTCTAAAAAGGAATCTTTCTTCTATACTTTGTTTTGAACATTCAGTCAAAGGCAGCGCCAGAGTGTGATGGGTTTGTTTGCTGAAAATTGGAAAGGTTAGAAGCGGGGGAAAAACATATACCGAATTCCTGTTGTGCTTCAAGGGATTGTCTGTGGTCTTAATATATGAAATTGGTCTAGGCCAGAGGAAAGAATAAAGATACAGATAAAAGAATTGGGGAAAATAAAACAGGATTCCAGAAAAGAGCTCAACAGAACAGTTCAAGAATTCAAGAGAACAAATTCATGCCAAATTTCCATTAACTTTTCCATTTTTATTAAGACCTCATTCCCTTCTTTACTATAGTGGGGGGAGGGGGAAACACAGCAAGCAAAGATTCTTTTCTAAAGACGTTTTCTGTGCCAAACACTGCAGAAAACCCGTGTCAAAATGGACTCTCTTCGATCTTAAACGGCTACTTGTCTTCCTCCTAATCTGTCTAGATGAAAATGACCTTATATGCTTTTCTGTTATTGCAAGAAGAGAGGACAGCACCCGAAGAGTTGGAAATAAACACACACACACACACACACACACACACGCTCACAATACCACACACAGTTATGAAATATGGGCCATGGAGCATGCAGAAGCGCTGGGATGGATGGCGAGTTATGGCGTCAGGTCAGTGGGTTGCAATTTGGATACATACCGGGATCGAACTGCGGGTTATGCTCATAAATCTAACGGCAATTAGTACAGGCTTCTGGATTAGAGAGGACAGGAAAAGGAAAGGAAAGGAGCAGGTTAGAGTGCACACGCCATCAGCTGACTCTGGGAGTGGCTGGGCATGGCGGTGAAAGCGGGCTCCTTGCTGAAGCTGCTAGAAAGCGCAAAGGAGCCGCAAGCCATTCTGCGCTGCGGTGGAGAAGAAGCAGGGGCTGCAGTTACAGACGGGCCCCCCAAGAGGGGGTATCCAGTCCCCCCCCCCCCCCCAGCCTCCGCTGGCTTTCAGCAATGCTTCCCTCGGCCTCCTATCCTCGGGTCGGCCAAGCCCCCACCTCCACGGACCCTGCAAGCTGGAGAGGAGGAAAACCCAGGCGGTTTTCTGAGCGGAGTAATTGCTTTTCGGGTCAGCCGCCTAGCTTAGAAGCATGCAAATTGCTCTGCATCTGATAAAAAGTTTGTAAGCGGGAGAGGAAGTGGTTTATTACAAAGGGCTCAGCGGGGGCCCCCCAGAGTGCAGTCTGCACATCATACCGTCCCCCCAGAGTGTCCCACGGGCACGTGCAGGTGGGAGAGAGGAGAATGGAAGCCTTTCCTTAAAGCAGTGTCAGATGAGAATACTGTGAGAGTCAGGGGAACAGGAGGGACTAATCACGGAGAAAAGCCAATTCCGTACAAGCTAGAGTGGTTTGAGTTGGGAACTACAAAGAAACCTTCAAGAACCACGAGTTACCTGTACAAAGTAACCACAGAGTGATACCTGTAGCTTCGAAGAGCCAGGTATTAGTGCTGAAACCAAACTTTTTGCATTAAACTCATAATCCAAAACATATTAATCCATATTAAATAATTTGAAATGTGCAAAGAGTTAGAAAGATGGGAAGAAAAGGTTAGAGAAGGAGAGAAAAGAGAGAGAAAAGACAGGTATCGTTCAGTTATTATTATCTACACCCAAGTAAGTTAACTCTCACGCAGGGAATTCTCAGCTCCAGAATCTAGGCTAAGTATGGTATCAGGAGAGACAAACGCAGGTGATCTTCGTCCCAGTATTCCTCTGAACAAGGACACCCGTTATCAATTAATTGAAATAGAAAATGGGGAAGATCGGAGGATGGAGCATTGCCTCTACTTCTTCGTGAACTGGGATTATTAGGTCAGCCTGTCATGCAGCCAGCCAGTCAGTCCAGCCCCTTACCATGGACCTGCGGATCAAGGACAGACGGCTCTTTGCTTTGTTCTCTGCAAACTCCAGGCTGCTGATATCCTTGAGACGGGCCCGGTATTTGTTCATCTGTTCTATAACAATCAACTCTACGCAACTGAAAAGAGAAAAAAATCATTGAGAGGGAAAGTTAGGGCTTGAAGACCAGAATGTAGGCAATGTCTGTATAAAACCAAAACACAGAGACAAAGATTTTTTTTGCTGTGAATATTATAACTGAAAAAAAAAATGGAGGAATCAATCTATGCACGCAAACTTCTTCTTCTGGAATTTCCATTATTGTAAAATGTTCCTCCCCCAAACTACGTGAGCGACATCGATGCAATTGAACTGGTCATGGTAGGCAGCAAGTATTTTATTTTTATTTTTAATTACCTTATGGTTTTACTGACATCCTGAGCGCTCTGCAGAGGGTCAGTGGTGTCTGGACAACGGAGAATGCAGGGAGCAAAGACAATGGCCAGAGCATTAGCTGACATTCGATTCGTTTCTTCTTGTAGAGCGATCCTAAACAACATCAAAATAGAATGGCAGTGAAACTTAACTACAGGTACTTGTAGCAACCCTCACTTGTTGCAAGGTGGGACAAACCCATAGAATCTAAGAAGTAACACAGAGGTCAAAAAAGAAAAAAGAAGCAGTGTGAATAGGTGGAATGAGACAACGGCCGATGTTGGGGAGCAGCAGCAATGCCAGAGTTTTAACTGTTCTTTCTGTCCTTCCCAGCCATTCTTTTCTCTTGGACAATAGATCTCTATGTGGCCTACTTTCTGTCCCATATATCTAAAACTAGTCCAAACCACAGTGCCAGTCTCTAGCCTAACGTTTCTCAACCTTGGAAGATGTGTAGACTTTGACTCCTAGAATTCCCCGGCCACCATTATCTATCTATCTATCTATCTATCTATCTATCTATCTATCTATCATCTTTTTTACTACCCAATCTTATCACTAAAAGAGAACTGAGGTGACCCACATGAAAATAACACGTCAACATAACAAACTGAAAGGACTATCTGCCCTCCAATTTGATTGTGGGGTTAAAAAGGACTTTTGCTTTGAGGTGTGTGCCTCGAGAAAAGCTTTTTGTCACTCCAAATAAGGTGTAGAAATCACTGGCTTTCCTGGTGGATTATAATAAGCATGATTGAAAGCCAGATGAAGATAGGCAGAGCTTAACTTTCCAAAGCTCTCTGCAAGTAAGCCTGTCTTGGCACACAATTCTGAAAACAGAACTAACTGCCTTTCAAGGTCTCACCAAAAGCTGAACGTGGGGATATATCTGCAGATAAAGCTGACATTCACAAGGAAATCTCTTTATATCCTTATCTTGGCTACTGATACCTGACAAGGTGAAAGATCAGACGTTCCAAGGTATTAAGATGGGTTCGGGAAAGCTGATCAATGACTGAGTAGACTCCGCGGATGGCCTCTTTCCTCTCCTGCAAACCTGCAGGAAACAAATTTCAATCATGAATGAAGGCAAATATACATATGCCAGGATAATATTGCAGGATCCAATCTGGGTTGGTCACTGAGGCCAGAGGTTTAAACTTCCGGTCCCATGTGACCGATGCAGATTGGATCCTGCAACATTTCAATCAATTCATCAGGACTGCGGCCTGCTCTGTCTCAGGAATGCGTATTTTTACAGCAAGCGAAACTTAGAGAATATTATATACACATCTAAACACACATATCTTGCAAGTCTGCTACTGCTCAGGATTTAAGGAATATTCCAGAAAGGGAACCTCTGAGCAAAGAGTCAGATTCTCAAAATACTTTTTAATATTTAGTTTAGTTTATTGTCATTGCACCTTGTACAACGAAATCAAACACCATCTTCAGTGCACATTATGACCATGAAAATAAACACAAACACACATCCTTCACACTCCACACATCGAACTGAAAACCCCTGACACCGCACCAACACTGCAATTTGCAGTTCAAGGGATGTTCTTAAAGAAGAATGCACTGGGAAATCCTACTACAACTCAAGGCAGAAAATGATTTCCACATAACTGAGGGGTTTGAAATATTTAGGTGAAAAATCAGGATATAATGTCTGGAAGGCAGAGAGTATAGAAGTGGAAATATTGGTTTAATTTGGGGTCTCATCAAGGGGATACATTGTATCGCAGTGGGATGCCTCAGTATACCATCCAAAGCAGATCCCTAGATTACTGTTTTCGGCTTCATTGTAAATAAAGAATTTTCACAGGTATTTAGGGTAGAAATATTCTCCGGGACAAAGAAAAGCAAACTGAAGAGATAGTGAACTCGAGCAGAACATAACTTTCCAAGCAGAAACAGACTTGTTTTTCCTTTTAGCTTCGCTTTTAATATTCCCCAAAGTCCTCCTTCATCTAGGTGTGATAACTCCTTACCCATGGCTCGCAAAAATTCTTCATAGAGTTCAAAGGTCATGAGAGGATTAGGCAAATCCCGCAGCCATTGCTTGAACACGCTGGCAATGACATGAATGTTGTAGTCATCGAGATTCACTCTTTCGATATCTGGTTAGCGGAAAGAATGAAAGCAAGAAAATTAAAAGCAAAGGATCAACAGCAAAAAGATACTTCAGCATGCAATCTGACATGTTGGTGCCAAGATAAGAATTAAATCATGGCCAAGATATGGCTTATGCTAGGAAGCTGGCTTGGCAAGCAGCAGGCCTGCATTTGGGACCTGGGCGTTGCCACAGTGCGGGGTGAGCTCCTGTCCTTTGCTCCAGCTCCTGTCAGGAACCTTAAAGTAGCCCCCAACTGAGCATACCCAGGGCAATGGTGATGTCACTGGCTAATCCTTCCAACCCAGAAGCACCTTGGTGCCTCCCACACAAGTGTGATGCGCTGCGCTGCGATGGCCTAGGTTCCTTAACCAGTAGTATCACTGACTGCAAAGGACAGAGTCAAAATTTTTGAACTTAAGATATAGGTTTATCCTAGCTTTTGTATCTAAGGGAGGACTAGACGTCATAGTTTCCCAGGTCCTAGTCTATCATTTTAATCACTACATCAAACTGACTCTCAAACACAAATCAAACATGAACCACAGCTACACATTAGCATTAGCCTAACGGAATTAACTACAGGTACTGTCTGAGTCCTGCTTCAGCACTGCCTAAACCCTGAGCTAAATCAAATTGAATACTGTTGATCACCAAAATACTAAACTTTCTGGCCATCATCTGCCTAAAGTTTCGGCATCTCAAAAATAAACTCTGTCATTGTGTCAGGCCAAATGCCCAATCATTTTGAGGGACCTGTGTGACATAAACACAGTGGGGGAACACAACTCTTCAATAATTCAAGCTCTCCTTCTCTAAGCCTCCTCACCTGTGTCAAGGCCCTGCCGTAATTCTTTGACCTTGTTTGTTGATCCAGATTTCCGGTAAATGCCCTCTGTATATAAAGCATGCATTTCTATGTAGCTGGTGAGCTTCTCAAACACGGTTGGCACAATCCGTTCTTCGCTGGTCAGGCGACAGAGTTCGACTCCAAACTGGCGTGAAGAAAGCTCTGGGTCATACTATAGGGACAGGGATAATGCAGTCAGTGTTACAAGCACATCAAAGCCACACTGTTAACATTCACAACGATATTCGCATGGGTCTGAAGCTGCTCAAATGCAAGGATCAGAACAGTCCTGCTTTAAGATTGCAAGCTACGCAATACAGAGAGCAACAGGCTTCGCCTTTCCCCAAGTCCTTGCTGACTTTGCAATCCTCCTGTGCTTATAGCCCCTACGTGGGATTAGCACTTTAGTCACAATCTGAGTTCAGAGCAGTGGAGGAGCAGGCAATGGGGCAGCAGGAAAGTGTCAAGAGTAGAAATATGAATTAAGAATGGGCAGCTAGATCGGTGTTTCTCAACCATGACAACTTTAAGATGTGTGGGCTTCAACTCTTAGGATTCCCCTGTACGTGTGGCATTGGGAAACGAGAGAAAACACGGTACCTTTTTGGAGCATTTTGTTGTAGTCTTCTGGCAGCATTTTCGGTGGCAAGCGTATTTGCACACTGGAATGAAGAAAAAATGTATTTGGTGTTGCCCATAATGAAATGCAGTGAAATGTTATTGCGTTATAACTTTACAGGAGCTGACAAGGAGACTCTTAACTGGATTTTGCTACATAATTAGGCTGTGGAATTTAGAAGGGTAACAGCTTCTCTTCTATGCAGATTCGGTACTTCCTATAATACAGCTTTCCTTTGGTTTCTTGGTTATAATTATAAATTAAAACAATAGTGCAGAGGTCTCCAAACTTGGCAACTTTAAGATTTGTGGATTTTCGCTCCAAGGATTCTATCCTGGGAGCTGAAATCCACAAGTCTTAAAGTTGCCAAGTTTGGAGACCTCTGCTACAGGGCAATACTTACTATCAGCCTTTCTCTATTTGGCAAGACATCTGAACAAAAACTAAAGGAGCTAACAATCTCCCAATGAAAGGAAATGTAAGAAAAAAAAAGAGTGCATGGGGATTAACAGTTTATACTTACATTTGCAAACAGCGGCCCTGTCCATGATCCATATCAAGGAGGAACAGAATTCACAATAGGTAGGGATGCTATATTGAGTGGCCTTAAAAATGTGGCCATTATGTTCTTCTACCTGGTAACGACAAAAAAAGCAATTTGACATTTAACAGCAGTTGAAAATAGACCTCTGAGTATTTATTGTACTGCACAAAAATTTTTTGTGTAACTGTTCTTTTTAAAAAAAAAAACTGGCTGGAATGCTGACTATTTCTCAGAAGGTTCAATAATGTCATCCATTAGTTCATACATTGACTTTCTACCCCATCTTTTGTTTCAACAATGAAAGTCTCTTACGGTGATTTTCAGATAACAAAAAATATAACACATCCTTCTTAATCAGACTTATGATTCATTCCATCCTGTTTTATCCTGTCTCGAAAACTGTCAAGCCTTCAGGAAGTTGATCACTGAATGCCAACACTGACACACCTGGACGCTGCAAACATTTAAATATACATAATAAATGTCAATGTAATTTGTTTCATATTAAAGGAGGAAGTATTTTGGCTTACTATGTCAGTTTCCTTCTTTCGCCTCTTCTTTCTTTCTGTTTTTGTCATCTAAAACAACAAGAGACAATATCAAACAGTTCAGTTTTCTTTGAAGACTTTGTTTCCATTTGCAAATTTAAATGTTTTCTTACATAATCTTTGTTTACAAAGCAAATCAAGGCGCTATTAAAATCAGACGGTCTGTTCTTATTTCGTTTACTGCTTGTTCTCCTGACCAAGATATTCCGATAACATTCAATATTTCATTATATGGGAACTACTGAGACAGAACTGAGAGAGTTAACAAGTGTTAAGTAGAATCAGAATTCCGCTGTCATGGCTTCTGGCAGAAACAGAAGTATTTATTTGGAAGAAGATATTCATCTATTTTGTGTAAGTAGCAGAATGAGCTACAACTGTCCCTTTTACGGCTTAATACTAACCACTATATCTCTGCACACTTTTCCGTGCTGCTGGCTCTCTCCAACATACTTCAAGAACAGAAGCCTTAAAATATGCATGTACATGTAGACATACAATTATGGTTTGTTCTGCAATTTCTTCACTATGGCCCTTTTTGTAACAGAATGGTACATACACATTCTGGTTACTTCAGATTATTCCTTTTCAATAGTACATTATATTTTGTGACCATAAAACGTTATGCAGGATCCAGTCTGGATTGGTCCACCGGCTCCACACCAATCTGACCCACCATGATTGGATCCTGCAACATTATCCTCTCTTCATCTTCACTCATGATAACACTTTTTATACATTATTGCAAGCCAGCCTTTCAAACTCTATTTGTCAATAACAAGAAGCAAGGAAATTATGTTGTGAAGCAACATAAAAAAAAAACTTTCTGAAGTAGTGCTAATGACCAAAGGACTACAAGGAATATAAATCTTTCCATCTTCCACCATTTAGTCAGAACTGAGGAAGCTTCTTGGATGAGAAGCGAAACCTCTTCAAGGAAAAACAAAGTCCAGTTGCCTTTCCAAAAAGCATCTTTGGGACAAGGTAGCCGATTCTTCACAGGGCATCCAGAACACGGTCCTCCTGCCAAAGGGATGCAATATGAGGTTGTGGTTGTGGTGGACTAGTTTACCTTTGCAGCAGAAAAATCCAAAGGCATATATTCTGTCATGTATTCATCCAGAAACACCTTAAATGTATTGACCCAGACCCGTACAGGGGATTCCCTCCAGTTCCGCTGCTCAAGTTTCATGGTTTTCTCTAGAATCTGCTCAAACAGCGCATAGAGATCCTTGTAGCGGATGCTCTTCCCATCGCCCATCTATTAAAACATGGGAGAAACAACCGTGAATGTCTGGACGTTCCACAAAGGGGACAGAAATGTATTTTTAAAAAAACATTCGTTCGCTAAAATAAATAAACATTAAAATCTAAAGAGAAACGTAAGCACAGTCCTGAAATCAAATAACAGAAAAGGCAGGCAATAACGGATAACCCTTTTGTCTGAAATGGTATAGGGTTTTCTGCCTAAGCAGGAGTTGGACTAGAAGACCTCTAAGGTCCCTTCCCACTCTGTTATTTTAATGGCTGACTGCCTAGAACTCAGCAACACAAGCAGGGGTCTTTGCTTCGCTGCATGACAACTTAATGGGCAGGAAAGGTGTTGTGTCACAATTCTGGGTTCAAAGTATTACCTCACAGCAGTGTTTCTCAACTTCGGCAGCTTTTAAGATATGTAGACTTCAAATTCCCAGAATTCCCCAGCCAGCAAGGCTGGCTGGGCAATTCTGGGAATTGAAGTCCAATCATTTTAAAATGTCTCAAGATTGAGAAACACTGCCACAGAGTAAGCATGGCTACAGAGTAAGCGTCACTATATTTGGATGATGAGACCATTCTTGATCCTGCATGAAGAAGCATCTTCCTGAAATGTGCACGTTTGACTTTTTTGGCTCTGAGTTTCTTCCTCCTCCTTTATTTACAAAAGAAGAAAGAAAAGAAGACAGAAAAGTTCTTTTTGTTACATGATACACTATGATAAAGATAACGAGAAGAAGCAGGAACATCTGTAATAAATCTAGTTACGCCTTCTATGAAACCCAATATATTATCATTGTAAGTAATTATCTCCCCAAACATCAAAAGCGGCTTCTGTACAGTTCGGCTGCACTAGGAACTCCTGCCATTAGCACTTAATTTTAAAACATAAATAGTTATTTAACTTACTGCCAAAGCAGAAGAGTAGAAACTGAAGATATTTTGCCGGAATTCTTTCAAAGCTTTTTTAAATACCACGTCCACGAGAGTGTCCTTCTTACAGTCTTCACTATCCAAATCATTCATCTGGAAAAAAATGAAATTAAGGCTGTTTTTTCAAAACTTACCATGTGACAGATTCAATGATGCAGAGCGAACACACCATTTCCAGGACAGCAGTAAAATGGCTACATGAAGGCTACCCTGTTTTATTTAACGACCCAACTTTGGCTGTCCTGGGTCCAGATGTAAACAAAGCTCTCCCAAAGCAGTTACAGCAATAACTTGCTTTATTCCCCCATCAGGCAGAACACTAAAATCCTTCCAGATGTTTCCATGAAGAATAAAAAGCAACACATTCTAGACTTATTCGGAAGCAAGGAGACTACTGGAGTATCAGCCGTGGTGGTGCAGTGGTTAGAATGCAGCACTGCAGTTCAATCCTGACCAGCTCAAGGTTGACTCAGCCTTCCGTCCTTCCGAGGTGGGTAAAATGAGGACCCAGATTGTTGGGGGCAAGAGGCTGACTCTGTAAACTGCTTAGAGGGCAATGTAAAACACTGTAAAGCAGTATATAAGTCTAACTGGTATGGCTAACTACTATTCAAGAATGAGAAGGGAAAATCTACCCTACTTATGGGTGGTATTTCATTCCATTTTAGCCTGATTTTTTTTCTGCATTAACCTTCCTTTTTCTTACACGTGCTTTGTAACATCAAAGAACCAAGAGCTTTGAACTAAGCTTTGCTACTTCAGATACAAGGGTTGCTTGATAAACAGGACAAATGTATGGCAGATAAAAGCCCATCCAGATGCTTCCATCAAGTCCATCAAATCAGCTTACAAAGACTTCGTACTAAAAGTCAGCTCGTAAAGCTGCTGATGGAATATATATGTTACCTTTTTCAAGAGGAACTCGTCCATGCTTTTCAAGTCACTGGCACTTGTTATGATCTGAAGAGCGTCGTTCTGCCATTGGGCAGGTTCCATAGTTACGTTGCTAATTTTCAGGCTGCGTTTTCGCTTGACCTTTGGAGACGGCTCTTTGTTTTCTTTACATTCCCTTCGATAGTTGCCCGACAGTTCAGGACTCCTCGGAGGACTCAGCTCTGCAGGTGCGAAGAAATACAAGTTTTACTCAGAATTCCCCTGAGAAGAACAAGCAGAGCTATCTTCCTAATCAGGAAACAGGAAAATTGGAAACGCTAAAGTCGCGACGCATCATTTCTTTAGCATAATGGAGAGAAACAGCTCGTGCACACATGCCTGAGATTCCCACCTTCACTGTAGGAAAATCCTAGAAAATTTAGGATTCCAGGCAAATTAGATAATTCAAAGGAGAACTCTGCTGGTGCCTGGAACAAAGACTTCTGACAATCAGTAAGGAGCAATTCACAAGCTATTTGGGTTTCTGATGAAGTGTAAAAGAACCAGAAGATTGTTTATACACTGGACATCACTGTCAACACAACGGACTGACCAAGCACTAAGCTGTTCTCTGATAAAATATTTTCTGTATTCACAACGTCTTGTGCACAAAGCAGAAGTCGAATTCTCTGATTCTGTTACATCTAACATAAGTCAAGCCAATCTTCATACTTCTGAAAGCCTGAATTACCACTTATTTTTTGTCTTTGCAATGCACAAAAGAAACACATTTAAATCTTTATCAGCTCTCTAGCTGACATTTTTTATTAAACCAGTGTTTCTCAACCTTGGGAAGCTTAAGATGGGTGGACTTCAATTCCCAGAATTCCACCTATCTTAAACTTGTCAAGGTTAAAGAAACACTGTATTCAAACCACCAGTTTACCTTCTTCAAGCTGTAGACCTGGAATCATGTCTCTTCCTGGCGCATCTTGGTCAGGATACAGTTCCAGCAGCTCTGACTGGGTAGCAAGTTTCTCCCTGCTTAACTTCTTCTCCCCCTGCTTTCCTTTCCCCCAAAATCTCATCTTGGCTCTTTGAGGCCTAATAAAGGACAAATGGGAAGAAAGGTTTACTCAAGCCATGTTGATTATTTTATCCAGGTTTCTTTCCGCTCTTGCCTCTTAAGAAAAATAGGCAACAAATCTTGCTTACAGTCAAATCTTAATTACCTGACCCATGCGGGCACTGCACTGGTTGTAAGTCTGAGGACCAGCTTCACAAAATTACTTTTTCAGCACCATCGGGACTTTGAATAGTTGCTAAACAAGGCTGTCACTAAGGGAGGACTAGTTGTAATGTTTTAATCAAATTATTTTCTATTATATATCATTTGGAACTTACTGATGGTCAGCATCCATGAGATAGGTGCTTTCCCCTTATCTTCCAATCAGGGTTTGTGTCTAGACCAGAGTTCCCCAACCTTTCCGGGTTGGTGGCCCAGAGCAGGAGATGATTTTGTGGGTGGGGCAAGTGCATTCCAGCAAGCCTCCACTCCAACCAATAACTCCGAGACAGACATCTCTTAAAAGTTCTTTTTATTTGGATAGTAACTGGCACAACTGGGGGATTCACAAATCTGAAAATTCCGGCCTTCCTTCGCAATAATCAAAAACTACAAATCCAACTCCTACGCCCATCATCACACCACATGCCCCAATCACCATCCGTCCCAACTTAAGACTTCCCCTCACGTGTGCGCACAATAGCATGACCTTGAACTACAAAAAGAATGTTATTTTGTCTAACTACATATACTCCGAGAGATTCCACCCTCCAACTTTCCCAGGCTCAAAGTGTGGCAGCGTGGTAGTATCTGGTTTCAATAGGGCTTCCAAAGCTGACATGCACCAGCACCTGTGACGCCCAAGGCAACACTTGTGCAAGTGGGGCACGTGTGCGTGCATGCAGAGGCACGCCTACCGGCCGGCCACTCACACACAGCCCAGTGATGATTAGCCCGGGGCCCAGTAGTGAGCCACTGACCACAGGTTGGAGACCCCTGGTCTAGACTGAACAAAGATAGTTTGCTTTATCCTTCACTCCTTACAATTTCTCTCTTTCAAGCACTATAACTGAAATAGCTTATCTACATTGTTGGATGGTATTGAAGAGTAAACAGTCTAGTGAATTTTAAAAAAATTGCTAAGAAAAAGAAGCACTGAATTATGTTTGATTCACTCTTACTCTCTTTCCCCCCGCCCCCTTTCTTGTTGGAAAATTTATACCTTCTGTCCATGGCTACGATCTTCTGGGCAACTGGCAGCTTTCCAATCTCTCCTTGAGACATTGTTTTGTGAAGCTTTGCTTGGCCTTCGCTGGAGGCAGAACGCTGTAACATCTGCAATAATTTCAAACGTAACAGATGATAAAATGATTTGATATTCTAAGAAGACACAATCAAGCTATACAGTGCTTTCAATATTTAAGCTGCAATAAAAAACAAAACATTAGCTATTGCAAAGATACCTTTAATTTGATTGACTTCTCTTCTCCTTGTTTGGGTTATAGCCGTAGACTAGAAGATGCAGCATAACGTTCTGTTACTATTAGTTCAGAAAATCAATACTGAGAGGAATAGCAACACACTGACATAGAATTTTAAAGCAAAAGTAATTGGCTTTTGCATAAAAGCATGCAATTACTGAAGGCAGTTAAGGAAGGTACTCCTAAGAAACCTGGCTCCTGAATTTCTGAAGAAAAAAAAAGTCTGTTTGAAGTACCTTTTGATTCTTTAAAAATAATATTCTCTTTGATGTATTCATGGAAACTGCCAGCTGGTGAACGTTGTCTCCACTTAAAATTTCTCATACATTTAATAGTTCACCTTTTTGGGGAGTGGGGGGGAAGATCCTTTGATTATTATAAACAATATGGAAATTGATATACATGAGTCACTGCTGAAACATCTGAAGATGCAGTTAGGGGCAGATCATCATGGAGAAAATCTATCTATAAGGGTTGTTAAGACTCAACAGAGGCTTGATGGCACATAATCAATAATTCAAAATATACATGAGTAGTAAACTTTCATAAAAATGACAGCTCAAAAGGAAAACAAGGAGTGTGAGAGGTCATTATTGTCCAGCGCTCAAGGATCAATTACTTCTCCATTCTTGATTACAATAAATACTTTACAGTGATCATACTGAAGATGGTGATTCACTTAAATACGTTTTTCACATAAAATGTTACGCTGAATCTGCTAGACCAGGACTGTGAATTACTGCCCTCCAGGTCTAATTTCATCTCAGCAGGGAATGCTGGCAGGTCAAATGAAGGCAGGATCTGGCACATATCCATTGGAAAAGCAGCATTTGTTAATGCAAAGGAAACGGCTTCTAATAAAAGTCTTTTCAGAGTTTTACAACTGTTCAATTTTGAAAAATACCATTCACCAAAAAGGGTGGGGAATCGTTGATAAATAAAAGGAACAAAGCATCCGCTACAACCTGGTTCCAGGTACCCATCTGGGAAACCACTCTTACATCTTTAGCTGCTATGCTTCGATTTGTTCTCCATTCCAACAAGAACGGGTAAGCCCTTATAACTGTTTCTGTTTTTAATTTCCTGGCTCACTTGCAAAAAAGAAATATGATCCATTTCCACCCTTAACAAAAAGATGATTGTAAAAAAATTGTCTCCAACTGCATTCAACAGACATAATGGCAGGAATAGCATAATCTCCTAATTCTTCTGCATGCTGAAGATAATTTGGGAGCTATACTTCCATAAAGATTTTTTTTTTAAAAAAAGATATGCACTCTCTTGTCTTTCTTCTTAAACAAGTCAACTTAAGACCTGCTTCAGTTGTATTACTGGGGACAAAAAAGCAAAATCCAGACAAGTTGTAACAGCAAGCTCTGCCAGAATGCTAAGAAATTCAAAATATTTCAGGTTGCTTAAAAAAAAAAAAACATGCTGTGTCTCTTATCTCTACAATATTCAGTCCAGTGCATGCTTAAATTGGGATAGTGGCTATCATCCTAACCTTTCCGTCAGGCCTCGTCCACGTCAACTAGTCAGCTAGCCAAAAGCAGAATAGCTGACATTTAATAATGAAAAAGAAAATCAATGCCAACATATTGTAATGGACTCAAAGATGATGAGCACTCTGCAGAAAAAAATGGGGAAACCAGGGACGTGAAAGGCTTTTGTTCACCCACAAGTGGTGTGGAGGCGATAACCTATTTCTTCTTCCTCATGACATTAATCAACTCTGTTCTAGCAAAAGAGAGTTCCTTAAATGACACATCTCTTGTGCTGAAAGCTTAGAATAAACAACCTTCATTTCATGCCCTGAAAATATGCACCAATGTGACCTGATTAAAAACAGCCTCAGCAAATATGAGCCATTAATTTTCTGAACAGTTAATGAGCTGCAGGACGATTTATCATGTCTTAACAAGACAGCGGATAGTCTTTTTCGAACAACCAGGAGAGACAGGCAAAATAAAAATACAACACCTAACAACAAAAAAAACCCTTCAACAAAAGACAGATGACGATTTTAAACACATTTGAGCAATATTACGTGTTACATTTAGACATCTACAATTCACCACTCGTATGGAACAGCGGTCATGAAATTCAGCATGAACTTAAAAAGCAGAGCTTGAATGTGCATGCAGATGTAAGTAGTTGTGCTAAACCACTAGTGAAAAAGCTGATGGGGCACCAAGAGAAGCGTGGGAGGAGAAAGGATGCAAGATAAGTGAAGATCTAGGAGCTATTTGCATGCAGATGACATCTGTTAAATGGTGGCAGGAGAATCAAGAGTGTTTTGAAAAAGTGACAACAGGAATGAGGTTTCTTCTGAGGAAAGAGTTCTCCAAGCAAAGAGTCAACCCAGCACCTTGACATCTCAACCATGATTCCCAGTCTGAAATTATTTAATGTTGCTGTAACTTCCAAGAACACAGCCCATTCCCTCGGATTGTGCAGACTGGAGCAACAGGGCTCCCTGGCTTTACCATTTCTGCCCAAAAGGACTTTATAATCTTCCCAAGGATGACGACTTAAATGGAAACGTGATCTCGCAGGCTTTTCAACATCTCCATGTGAGTAACAGGTCTAACAGCTGCAATGGTTGTAAGTGTGAAAATGGTTGTAAGTCATTTTTTTCACTGTCATTGTAACTTTGAATGGTCACTAAATGAACTGTTCTAAGTCGAGGACTACCCATACGCTGCCTGCTCCATCTTTACTTACCCAAAACTCAGTGGGTCGGTGGAAGGGGACGATGGGAGTATGTCTGCTAAGGGATATTTCTAAATGTTGACACTGAGAGGCATCAGCATTGAGTGACTGTGTTCTTAGAAGTTACCATCCAATAACATCCCTTACAGCAGGGGTGTCAAACTCAAGGTCTTTGGGCCAGATCCGGCCCGCAGGGGGCTTAGATCTGGCCTGTGGGGCCACCCTGGAAACAGTGAAGGACCGGCCCACGATGCCTCTGCCAGCGAAAACGGGCTCCCAATCTCCGTTTTTGGCTGGGACGG